GGACGCCATGGATGTTTCTCAGTTTTCAGGCAGAAAGAACAGTAAAAATGTAAGCAGGGCACAGGACAAAGCACTAGGGACAAAATGTATGTGAAATGGTTTGATACAGTAATGTTATACTGTGTGATTTTAGTGAAGTGAGTGAATGTCACTTTTTAAAATTTTTAAATTTCCCGCCGGTTACGTTCCCGAACATCCCGATGTCGCAGGGAACGGAACCCGGAAGACAGATGCCGGCATCGGCCGGAGGAGATGGCTGGGGACGCTGCAGGGGGGACATTGCGGGAGCGCAGGACAAGGTAAGTGTTCGAGGGATCCCGGAGCAACTCTGCATGGTATTCCCGAGTGTAGCTCGGGGTTACCACTTGTGGTGCTGAAACTTTACTCCGAGCTACACTTGGGAATACTGCCAGGGAGGTTAAATGGAAGCACCCATTTACTGTCTCTTGGGATCTGTTCACACCATTTTTTTGCGTTAATGCACAGGTTACCAAAATGCCCATTAAGTGCTATGGTGCAGTTCAGTGCCATTTATTATGACTGACAACCCAGTGCTTGTTCTGACGGACGTGCACAATGTTTTGGCAGCACACTGCACTGCATTGCACTGCAATGCATGTCTGTGCGAGGGAATTTGGTGTGTCATTTAGATTGAACTGCACCACAGCACACCCAACGTACGTTACTGTGAATTACCACAAAAACATGAATAAAACAGGCCCTTAGATTTGAATAGTTTATAAAACCTGCATTTACCCAAAAAACTCCCAGTGGGCCTATAATGCAGCAATAGGATCATACATATATTAAGAGACATTTTGTTAAAAAAGATTTTTATCAACTTTATTACATACACATTTCCAATGTAATATTAAATACAAGATTTCTAAAAAGAATATTGCTCTGACAGTATTCTTACAAGAGAACTCTTAATACAAGAATATGAAACCACACAGAAAAGAAAGAAAAAAACCCCAACACGTTTCGAACATTCCACATTCTAGATCTTCCTCAAGAGGCATGAGAGACAAAGGACTTTAAAACATATGTCAGAGCAAAAGAGAGGATGACTTCCAAGATGAGGGGCTGGACACCATGTTTCGGCGGTGTGTATCATCCAAGAGGGCAAGTGTGGTCAGATGTAAGTCACCAGGACTGACAGAGGGGCACCAGAACATCCCCCCAATGGGACGTGTCTTGAGCAGGCCAATGTATGGAACAAATAGAATTTCACTTTCGTAATGGATGTAACAACTCAAGGAAATAAAGTGGTAAATTTGAGATATTACGGGCAGCACAGTGGCTAAATGGTTAGCACATCCGCTTGGCAGTACTAGAGGTTGTTGGATCAAATCCGAGCCACAGCACCTCCTGCCTGGAGTTTGCATGTTCTCCCTGTGCCTGCGTGGGTTTTCTCCAGGTACTCTGGTTTCCTCCCATACTCCAAAGACATGCTGGTAGGTTAATTGTCTCCTGTCTAAATTGGCCCTAATATATGTATGTATGAATGTGAGTTAGGGACCTTAGATTGTATACCCCTTGAGGGTTAGGGACTGATATGAATGTACAATATATATGTAAAGCGCTGCGTAAATTGACGGCGCTATATAATACCTGAAATAAATAAAATAAATAAATATTCATTTCTCCAAGGAATGGAAGCATGTCAAATCCCATGGAACAAAGACCAAAGTGGCACGTAAGACAAATCATCAGAGTGAAGCACAAACAGCCAGTGAGTCTCAAGGCGAAAGACTAAAACCTGCATTCGTTTTTTTATATGCATACCAGACACAAACATTATTGCAAACTGATATAGTTATTATATAAAATGTATTACACCCTATTACATCCTAAAACACAAGGGAACCATTTACTTTGTCTAGTGTTGCTTTTTTGCCTTACAGCATCATTAGCAGTATACACAGTATAACAGAGCAAGGGAAACCATATCACTTTGGGGGTGATTTACTAAGGCTCTATGCACACTAGCATTTTTTTAACCCCTTCCCCCCAACGCCTCCAGGCCCTTTAAGAGTTTTTCAGAAGAGAGGAGGCGGGACGGACGGGGCGGGGTTTAGGGATCATATGACTGCCGTCACATGATCGGGAAAGGTCCCAATCGAAAGAGCAGACAGGACTTTTCCGTGATTCCTGGACATGTGTGCTGGGAGCGCGCAGGGTGCGCGCTCTCAGCACATATGTTTTTTGTTAATTGCACGCAAATGTGGGGGCCGCTCAGCGTCTAGGCCCAGACACCAGGAGGACACACATTTGTGTGCGGCCGGCGTGTAGAGGTTAAGCTCCTAGAAACTGCTATCAGCAACTTTTTTTTTTTTTCTGCTCCTAGAGGCTAAATAGTGTTATCCCAGGTGTCCATGCACACTATTTTAGGCTAGTAGCATTTTTCAAACTTTGTTTTTGTAGAGTTTTTGGTAGGGGTGCACCGAAATTCCGGTGGCCAAAACATTTCGGCCAAAAACACCCCTTTCGGCTGTCATAGAGATAAGTGAAGGAAAGATGGCCGCCAGACATCTCTATGCCCTTGGAGGACTGGAGCAATGTCCCTTCCAGTTTCGGCCATTTTTTTTTAAAGCACTAGATCAATGCTTCACATTGCAGAGGACAGATGTGAGGTCTTATTGACCTCATATCTCTCCATAAAGACGACCTGTCACTAATTATTTCTATCACAAGGGATGCATGCATTTCTTGTGATAAGAATAAAAGTGATTACAATTTTTTTAAAAGGAACAATGCAAAAAAATAAAAAAAATATTTTTTTTTTTTAAAGTTTAAAGTGCCCCCCCACGCCCCCCGTGTTTGCACATAGTGGGGAACGCATGTGTAGGCCACACCCATATATGTAAATGGTGTTAAAGCGAGACATGTTGAGTATCTATTTACTCATATCGCTGTAAATCCTCTACAATTTTTTTACATATTTTACAAAACCATTGGGGTAAATGGTGTTATATTGAGTATCTATTTACTTTTTTTTTTTTTCATCAAAGTGTATTTTTTTCCAAAAAATATATATTCAGTTTTAAAAACTGCGCATTTCGGTTCGGTTTTCAGCCAATTGCATTTTTAATTTTTGGTTTTGGTACCAGAATTTTCATTTGGGTGCACCACTAGTTTTTGGGAGTGTTTTTTTGGCAGAAACAAAACGCTAAACGCTCCTAAACACAACTAAAACACCCCTAACAGCTTTTTTCTAGCTTTCTTTCCCTACATGTACTGTAAAACCACTAGTAAAATGCTAACACTCCTAAACGCTTCTAAATGCTACTAAAAAACACTACAAGTGGTTTTTTATCCAGCGTTTTTTGAGCCTATAAAAAACACTAGTGTGCATGGAGCCTCAAACTGCATAGTACAAAATCTGGTGCAGCTCTTCATATAAACCAATTAGCTTCCAGGTTTTAGCCCTGGTTCACACTGACGTGGTGCGGAATTCGCAGCATTTTTAGTGTGAATTCCGAACCGCATCAGAGTCACACCCCGTTCATGTGAACCACTGCGGGTGTGTATGTAAAGGTAACAACACACCAAAAGCAGTCCACAAAACGCGGTGCTATGTGCAGAATCAGATCGCTTTGATGTGAGTACCCATGCGATCCGATTCTAGTGCAAACTCAAAAAAGGGTCCTGCATGGTTTTGGTGCGGGGTGCGAATAGAGCCATACAAAATGTATGGCTCTGATCGCACCGCACACAAATCGCATGTAATTTGCACAGGACTGCGGTGCGGCTCCTGTGTGAATCGCATGCGATATACCGCACCGCACATATGTGAACCCAAGCTCAATGTCAAACCTTAATTGAACAAGCTGAAGTTCGAAGCTGATTGGCTGCCATGTACAGCTGCACCAGATTTCACACTCTACAGTTTTACTAAATCAACCCCATTACGTTTCTATGGTCACAGACAACCAGAGTTCCTTTTTGTAACCATTCTTTCATTCGACTGGATGATCTTTTAGGACAACGATGTCTTCATTTACTGAAAACCAACATTTTTTTCTGAAGTTGCAAGAAAATCTAAATTAAAACACTCTTCCTATTCAAACTGAACAATGCAAAGAAAATATGCAATCAAAGAAATATGGCTCTTATTGCAGTAAACTGAAGAATTACGATTTATAAAAGACACATGCAGCTCTGTATTTACAAATACATCATTAAGGAAGAATTCCAGGCATGGAATATTTTTACATAATTACAGTTTTCCAGCTTGGACCTCCTGTTTTCACTATGAATCAGGCCGGCTGCTCAGCAAAGGACCCAAAAGCAAGCGGAAATCCCTGGAATAGCTGTGCTTTCTTCAACGATTTCCAGCTACCGGAGGCATTGGCCAGGTACGGTATATATATTGGTTCAAGCTGGAGCAATGTAAATACAAAAATATACCATGCCTGGAATTCATCTTTAAATATATATATTTTTAAAGTGACTGTAAAGTTATTTTTTTTTTTAACCACTTGCCTACCGGGCACTTATACCCCCTTCCTTACCAGGCCAATTTTCAGCTTTCAGCGCTGCCGCACTTTGATTGACAATTGCGCGGTCATGCAACATTGTACCCATATGAAATTTTGATCATTTTTTCCTCACAAATAGAGATTTCTTTTGGTGGTATTTAATCGCCACTGGGCGCTTTACTTTTTGCGCTATAAATTAAAAAAGTGCAAACATTTGAAAAAAAAAAAAAAAGTTTCTTTGTTTCTATTATAAAATTTTTCAAACAGGTATTTTTTCTCCTTCGCTGATGTGCGTTGATGAGGCAGCACTGATGGGCACTGATAGGCGGCACTGATGGGCACTGATAGGCAGCACTAAAGGGCACTGATAGGCAGTACTAATGAGGTGGCACGGATACGGCACTGATAGGCGGCACTGATAGGCAGCACTAATGAGGTGTCACGGATAGGCGGCACTAATATGCAGCACTGATAGGCGGCACTGATAGGTGACACTGATGATGGGTACTGATAGATGGCACTGACTGGCATCACTGCTGGGCACTGACTGGCGGCACTGACTGGCACAACCCCTGGGCACTGACTGGTGGCACTGACTGGCAGCACTGCTGGGCTGCACTGGTGGGTGGCACTGGTGGGTGGGCACAGGTGGGTGGCACTGGTGGGCACAGGTGGGTGGCACTGGTGGGCACAGGTGGGTGGGCACAGGTGGGTGGCACTGCTGGGCACAGGTAGGGTGGCACTTCTGGGCACAGGTGGGTGCACTGTTGGGCACAGGTGGGTGCACTGCTGGGCACAGGTGGGCGGAGCTAGTGGGCGCACTGCTGGGCACAGGTGGGCGGAACTTGTGGGTGGCACTGCTGGGCACCGATCATCAGGGCACTGATCATCAGTGGCCCTGATGATCGGTGCCGATCCTCGCTCTGACAACTGCCGGTTCTCGGCAGTACTTTCCTCACGATCTGACAGCGTGACGAAAGTGCAGCCGAGAACCAGCACTTGCATTTCCCTGTGATCAGCGTGTCATTGGACACCGCTGATCACGTGGTAAAAGGCCGGTATGATCGGCCTTTTACCACATCTCGTGATCAGCTGTGTCCGTAGGACACAGCGATCACGGAGATCGCGGGTGCGCGCCCCCTGGGGGCAGGAGGGGTTCTGGGGGGGGCGTCATATGACGTCCACCCAGAACTGGCCGGCCCGCAGTGAAGCCGTCATTCGGTTATCTGCGGTCGGCAACTAGTTAAATAACAGACATATACTTACCTGTTCCATGCAATAGCTTTGCACAGAGCAGCCCCGAGTCTCCTCTTCTGGGGTACCCAAAGGCTCGTGTGCTTCTTTTCTCTGTCTGCCCCATCACAAAAAGCAGACATGCAGGCTTGATCCCAAGCCAGGCTGTGTGCATCTATTGACACACAGAGAGCAACTCAGCCCCACCCTCCCAGCTCTCTCCTCACAGGATTCGATTGACAGCAGCAGGAGTCAATGGCTCCCACTGATGCATCCATGTCCTTTGAGAAAAGACAGCATCATCACTGCTCCTATGCACAGTGCCGGATCAATATCGGGCTCAGGTAAGTATTTGGGGAAGGGGGGGAATTGGGAGAGCAGTCAAAGCATTAATGGTAAAATAAATCTTCATCCTTTACAGCCTCTTTCATCACTTCCCACAGGAGGTATACATACATGCAGCCTCTGGCGTGTGGGCTTTAATATAGAGAGGCTACATATATTATTATATTATTATTATTATACAGTATTTATATAGCGCCAACAGTTTGCTCAGCGCTGTACATTATAATGGGAGACAGTACACAAGACTGTACAGTAACAATACGATTCAATACACGAGGGGTTCGAGGATGCATATATGCATCCCTATGTAGACATTTTCTTGTGCTAAGAGTGTGCTCCCTGCATGCTCTCAGTACAGTGAACGGCAAGTACCGGAAAGCTCCCGATGTATACTACCGATAAATGCCTACCCGCCATAAAGCTATTTAAATCTCACAAGTGAAGGACAATCATTTGGCAGGTAAGACAGCTCCCATATAAGTATTTCATTGGCTTATTTAGATGCTTGTCCAGAGTTTGGCTTTAAGAAACTTTATACAAAGATCATTGTAAGAATTATATTCTCACTTTAAGGTCTTGGTCATATCAGAACGCGGTGCAGGAAACTGGTGTTCTGTAGGCGTTTCCCGCACCGTGCTCGAAACACGCTGGGCGTGTGATATACTACAGGTATCAACCAATATAGTCAAATAACACCCCAAACGCAGATCACAAACGCAGGTGTGTTTGCCTACACCGGATCGCATAGTACCATGCAATCTGGTGCATTTTTGAAACGTAATGTAAACAACACTTTTGGTGTGATCTAGTGCAATATCAGCCCTTTCAAATAAATGGGCCTAAAAAATTGCACCGCACTGAATCGCACAGTTTCTATATTCCTGTGAGATTCAGGTGTGAAGGAGCCCTTAGAAATATTCTTCATAAGGCGTTTTATCTGCAGTTTTTTTTATATTGTACCATAAGCCTGGAATGGTCTATGAATCATAATGACTATCAGCAGCAGTGAGCAGCAACCAATCACTGTTAATAAAAGTAGGGATGCACCAAAACTCTGGTGGCCAAAATGTTTTGGCCGAAAACACCCCTTTTGGCCGTCGGTCGAAAAGAAAAAAAGCACCAATACAAGTGTCGAAAAAAACCCGCCCCTCGCCGCCACCGCTCGGTAGTTCTCAGCCTTACCTGAGAAACCATCGATCCCAGAACTGAAGACCGGAGCGATGTCAATTACCATTACGGCCATTTTTTTTTTTTAAGCACTAGATCAATGCTTTTTTTGACCCAATGGTATACATTGCAGAGGAGAGATGTGGGGTCTTATTGACCCCATATCTCTCCATAAAGAGGATCTGTCACTAATTATTTCTATCAAAAGGGATGCATGCATTTCTTGTGATAAGAATAAAAGTGATTAAAGTTTTTTAAAGGGACAATGCAAAATAACCCCCCAAAACATTTAATAAAAAATAAAAAAAAGTTTAAAGTGCCCCCGTCCCCTCATGCTCGCACATAGTGGTGAATGCATATGTAGGTCATGCCCACATATGTAAACGGTGTTCAAACCACACACGTGTTATCGCCACGAACGTCAGAGCAACAGCAATAATTCTCACACTAGACCTCCTCTGTAACTTTACATTGCTAACCTGTAGAAATTTTTAAAGCATCACCCATGGAGATTTTTAAGTACCGCAGTTTCACACCATTGCACAAGCGTGCGCAGTTTTAAAGCATGACATGTTGAGTATCTATTTACTAGCCGAACATCTACTTTCATATTTTACAAAAAAATTAGGGGTATAATTTTTTTTTCATCAAAGTATATTTTTTCCAAAAAATATATATTCATTTTTAAAAACTGCACATTTCGGTTTTGGTTTTCGGCCAAGTGCATTTTGAATTTTGGTTTTCGGTTTCGGCGCCAGAATTTTCATTTCGGGGGACCACTAAATGAAAGCAAACTATAGGTTCAAGTTAAAATGCATGTGTTATGTGTTATAGCAATCGGTATTTCCAGCCATGTTACATTTTTAGGTCTCATTGGTTCCCATTGCTGAAAATAATAGCTGTTAAGGCAAATAATAATAGTTATTATATTGAACTTAATGTGACCTAATTGTCAGCTCTCATTATAACAAAATAGTACTGGTAGTTCACATTTCCCATTACAATTTGGAGACAAGTTGCTGGCTTCCTCTGAGATTAAATATTTTTAGTAAAGAATGTTGTATGGATTTATTTGCTGGTTAATTGAAGAAATTAAGCCTTAGCAGTGCATTAGACATACTAGCAGTTTCCTAATTGTTTCAGATGGGACCATCTGTAAGTAAAGGCTTACTATCTAAATACCATTTCAGCCCATTTACTTTTTTGAAGAATTTAGGACTCCCATTATTTTGTACTTCCTGAAGATCTTGATGGAAATCTTTAAAGCAAACCTTTTATTCGAAACTGCATTAACAGTCTTCCTAGGATAGATAAAAATAGACAAAAAAAATGAAATTCTGTCATTTTCTGATGAAAATGGGGCTCTAAACTCTCTCCAGTACTGATAATGGGTTTAAAAGCCTAGGCATTTTGTCTAAAGCCGGCCATACACTTGTAAATTTTCCTAGGAATGTTTGGATGAAACATTTTGTCAGTACATACAATAATGCCTTCAGGGACTTAACAAATGTTGTTTGAAATTACTTCAAAATTTAGTTAGCTTTTAACAGTTTTTTGGATTGAATGCAATTTCCCAAATGAAAGTCACATACACTTAGAAGTTAATTCGAGAAAAATTCTCCATCCTGCTCCTTTGAGTTTTTTATCACTATTATCAAAAACAAAATCCAATTTGACCCCACTAAAGGTTAGAAAATGAGCTTTCCAAAAAAAACTACATTTTCAAACAGATTTCTACTAGTGCACGGCTAGGTTTAGAATCTCTTAGGGTAGGAAGATCAAAGTTCAGTCCAGCTGAGCCTCAATTTCAGCTGATGTCATCTGACCAGAGGTCTAACTTGGACCATCACTGGAGGGAATCAAAAGTAGCATTGTTCCTAGGGAAGGTAAGTAGTTTAGAACTTCTGCTACCTTTTATTTATCTGTTTGGTTACACTTTATATAGTCAATCCTTCCAAACCTAGATAATGGTTAAATAGAAAGGTCCACCTGCTCCTCAGGGACTCTAGCAGTATGTTCTCTTCTCTCTCAAGTTCGTAGTTTTGCTTAGCTGCTGCATCAAATACCAGAGGTCCTAATGTTTTCTTTGTCAATAAATTGACACAAAGGAGTGTACTCCAAATATACAGCAAGAGTCCTCTTGCATGTACATGACAGAAGAATGCCGATGAGAAAATCTTGGTTGTGGTAATCCTAAAATATAGGATGTGGGTGATTGAGTGTCCACTTATTTGTCTTGGGTGGACTGATCTTTAAACCCTTGATGCTGAGGCAACACAAATATGCGGCCTCACAGAACTGGGCTTTTTTTTTCCATAAGGGCCACATATTTGCGCACCTGTCTTTGTGCTGAGAATGCGCTGCACTGCGCACTCCCAGCACAAAGACCGGGTGTCACTGAGAGCCCTGGGTCCCGTTCTAATGATTGGAACCCGAGACTCACGATTTCGGGTCACATGATCGCTGTGATAGCCTCTGATTGGCTATCACAGTGATCAGTCACTGTACAGTCTGGCCCTCTTGTTTTTTCTCTCCCTCTATGAATGGAGGAGAGGGATACATTGTATCTCTCCTGGCATGGGGGGGGGTAAATGTTTGTAAAAATAAATAAATAAATATTAAAAAATAAAAGAAAAACCTAGATCAAGGTTTGATCTAGTGCAGTGCCAGGGTAAGTGTTTGGGTTAAAGTCAGGATCAAATGTCTAGGTCAAAAGGTCAGGGTCAAAGGTCAGGATTTTTAAAAAAGATTTGTATTAGTGTCAGTTAACAAAAAACAAAATGCACACTATTGTTTCTGAGCTATACTACGGGTACAAACAACAAATAACATACACATATAAGGTATTGCTGCGATCGTCAAGAGCTGGAGAATTTATTTTGGGCTGTTCTTTGATGGTAGGTTATGGTAGTAACAAGAAAAACACACAGCTAAATTTAAAAAAATAGTTTTTTTTTACTATTTTGGGCCAGTTTTCCTTTGATAATAAAATAAAATCAGGAGATATCCATTACCATTTACCACCAAATGAAAGCCCAATTTGTCCTGAAAAAAACAAGGTATAATTCACCTATATATAACAAGGTATAATTCACAAAGCAGTTGTGATGATATCGACGGTTTTACTAACACATGTCAACGTTGCAAAATTGAGCTTAGGCATTAAGATTTGTTTTACCCTTAGGCTTGAAGGGGTGAAACTAGAGAAACCTACCTTTTTAAAACTGGGAATTCAATAGATACGGGTTCTTTTCCAAGGT